CTCATAACTGGTAGGCCCACAACTTTACAACCGTGTCCGAATACATTTCAAATCCATACATTATTTGATGACAAAGATGATTTCCTCAGTCTGTCAGTTGAAGAAAGAAAGTTTCTTGAAATCATGGAGAAGGAAGGCGGACTTCGGGATGGCAAGTGGACAGCACCGCTGCCTTTCAAGAAGCTAAGAGAACGTCTCCCAAATATTAGAGAGCAAGCATGGTCGCGAGCTCAAATACCCAGGAAAAACATGGACAGAAATCCTCTTAAAAAACAACACATGCTTGATTTCATGGATGGAGTTATCAATAAAGGGCATGCAGAAGTTGCTTCTCCATTGAAGAATGATGAAGAGTTGCCGGGTTGTTACCTTCAAGAATGGAAATCCTGGAAAAATGATTTAAAAGAACTACAAAACGTTTCAGTACCCACTTACCTTTGGTGAAATGGTTGGACTTCATGTGTTTTGTGACGCATCGGAAGTAGCAGTTGCCGCCGTAGCCTACTTGGTCAGTAAAGAGGGTGAACAGAGACACACAGGTTTTGTCTTTGGTAAGTCGAGGTTATCGCCGAAAGCGGGACACACAATCCCTAGACTGGAGCTGTGTGCAGCCGTATTGGCTATAGAGATAGCAAAAGTAATCTGTGCTGAAGTCGATATACCTTCTCAGGAGGTGACCTATCATTCGGACAGCAAGGTAGTCTTAGGATACCTAAACAACACAACTAGGCGTTTTCATACATACGTAGCAAACAGGGTGTTTAAAATCTTGCAATTTTTTATCCCCATCAATGGAAGTACGTTCATACAAGCAAAAACCCTGCGGACCATGGGACACGCCAGGTAGCTGCACGAAACATGAAAGATTGTCCATGGCTTAAAGGTCCTCATTGTTCAGTATTCAACGTAGATGTACCAGAATGGTTTCCCTTGGTAAGTCCTCAACAGGATAAAGAACTCAGACAAGAGGACAAAGTGATTGTTATGAAGACAAATGTACATGAATTTTGCCTTTTGGAAAGATCCAACAAGTTTTCATCTTGGGAAAGCTTGATTAGGCCCATTACTCTACTTATACATGTGGCTTGTTCATTCCACTACAAAAATAACGATGATCATTGCAAAGGGTGGCACCATTGCCGTCTGAATGATATAGCTCTAAAACAGAGAGCAGAGAAGTCGATAATCAAACAGGCACAAGAAAAATTCTATCAACGAGAACTGAGAAGCCTGAAAAGCAGCAAACCGCTACCCAACGACTCATCAATACTATCACTGGCTCCCATGCTTAATGAAGATGGGTTAATCTGTGTTGGGGGGCGACTCAGGAAGGCGACTCTTCCAATTATCATGAAGCACCCTATTGTCGTACCGGGTAAGTGTCACATTGCAACTTTACTATTAAGACACTTCCACCATAATATATATCACCAGGGCAGACAGTTTACTGAAGGAGCAGTGAGAGAAGCTGGGTATTGAGTAGTTGGGTGTAAAAAGTTGGTATCTTCTATCATCCATCATTGCGTAACCTGCAGAAAGTTAAGAGGAAAGCTCAGTATCCAGCATATGGCTGATTTACCCAGTGATAGGATTACATGTGTCCCACCTTTCACCAATGTAGGGGTCGATTGTTTCGGGCCGTGGGAAGTGACAGCCAGGAGAACGAGAGGAGGAGTAGCTTTAAATAAACGGTGGGCTGTGATGTTTTCGTGCCTTACCTCAAG